CAGTTGATAAGAGCTTATTCCGAATCAAATAGCCAGGAAAGCACTGGAAACCAAGCTCAAAAGTTCAGCAAAATAGCTCAGATAGAGGAATAATTTTGGTTTCTTTGAATAGTCTTTTACATACTTTTGTAAAAGCATCTCCCTTTTTAATCTATTTCTTCAAGGAATACTGAAAGCTTTAGTACCCAAGCCAACTGTCATTGTCTTCATGAAATTAGAATTAGTTATTGACCATGGATTTTATAATACCCTCCGCTGTGTTATAATTGCATTTTGACCAAACTTTGGTCACATTTAATAGTAAAAGCACATTTAATGTTGCTTTTTTTTTCACTACTCTGTGAGCTTTTTGATACTTCCTCTTTTTATTAAACTTAATTCATCCAAAGTAGAATCTGGAATATGATGTAGTTTATTTAATGAAACTAATAATGCATATATTATAGAGGTCATTGTTTGATAATTCTTTTAAAATTAAGATATTCAAATCTAAATGGTATTGACTTTCAGTTGAAGAGGAAATTACAAATCAGTGTGAAGAAATCTGTTTGATATTTGTGTACTTGACTTCACCCTTCTAGGTGTCCTCACAAGTGGGAAATTGCTGCCAGTGCTGATGATGAGTGGGCACATTTACTACATCCGCTATTTAATTTGGAAGCCAGTAGCTGAATGAAAATAATGCTATTTTTAAAATTAAGATATATGAGACTGGATCTCCTGGCACATATTTCAGGCCCAATACTGAGATGAATACTGAAAAACAGATCTTTTGTGAAGATGAATGAGATGTTATCAAACAGAAGACCATTTTGAGTTACTATGAACATTTTAATCTGAAAATCATCAAGCTGGATATTATTCTGCAACCTTTCGACAGCAAAGTTATCAGTGAAACATAGTATTATGTTTCTGGCTTTGCTTCTGCAGAAATGCCATCTGGAATTGAAAACACCTTTCTGATAGTGATGATGGGAGCATTCATAATCTGAATTCTAGGGAATGGGTTCATTGTGCTAGTTGACTGCACTGACTGGGTGAGGAGTCAAAAGATCTTACCAGCCAACTGCATCCTCTCCAGCCTTGCTATCTCCAGAATCAGTCAACTTTCGATAATACTATTTGATTCAGTTGTAATAGCATTATGGCCACATTTGTATGCCTTCAATAAACTAATAACATTTATTTGTATTTTTGGGGCACTGAACAATCACTTAGTTACTTGGCTTGCTGCCTTACTGTTTTTTACTTCTTTAAAATAGCCAATTTCTCCCACCCTTGCTTCATCTGGCTGAGATGGAGAATCAGCAGAGTGCTACTTGTACTCCCACTGGGGTCTTTGTTCTTACTGTTTCCAACCTTGCATTAACAGGTGGACGTAGTGACTTACGGATTAACATCTACACAACATAGGAAAGAAACTCAACTCGGTCTTTAGATATAAATAAAACTCAGTATTGTAACTTCTGGATTCCTGTCAGATTGATCTACTTAATTCCCTTTCTTCCATCCCTGACCTCACTGCTTCTTTTAATTGTGTCCTTGATGAGACATATCAGGAATTTGCAGCTCAACACCTTGGGTGTGAGGGACCTCAGAATGAAGGCCCATAAGAGGGCCATGAAAATGAAAATGATGGTGTCTTTCCTCCTCTTCTTTTTGGTTCACTTTTCTTTTCTCCTCCTAACAGGTTGGGTTTTCCTTGTATAGCAGAAATAGCAGGTCAATTTCTTCATCTCATTAGCATCCACTATTTGTCCTTCAAATCATTCATTTGTCCTAATTTTGGAAAACGGCAAGCTGAGACAGACTTCTGTGAGACTATCGTGTCATCTTAAGTGCCATCTAAAAAGAGTGAAACCTTCAGTGTTGTAGACTTTTCCGGATTTTTCTAAATTCCAGGGGAATGAATGAGAAAACATTGAAGATGTATTTCAGCATCTGTGTGTCACCCAGATTCTTTTAAGGTATAATTGGGCATCACAAAATTTCCCTAGACTTGCCTATAAAGGAATAATTTACTCATAAAGTCAGCCAGTGTAATCCTGGATTAAAAAAAAAGTGTCATTGTCATTTTAATATTTGCCAGAAACAAGGCAATATTTGTGACGATATAAATGTAAAATATATAATGCAACATGTATTAATTTTATATGTGCGGGCAAATGTATGATTCCATTCATATGTGAGAAAAAAAAACCAGTAGTATTTGGAAATGGTTCTAAATGCCATTAGAACCTAATGCCTACTCCAAGCTGAAGTAGGTGGAATATTTTTATAACACTAAATGAAAGACATTAAGAACTAAAAATATTTAAAGCATATAATCTCATGACCATAATTATAAATATAAATGGTAAGCTATAGAGACTATAATTGAAAAGATATTTAAAAACTATCAATAATACATCTTTATTAGGTTTTACAATTACCATACTTTTTCAATGATAGAAGCAACCAAAAAAGTAACTGTAGAAATTAAATGTTGAAAACATATTGAATGTAAGTATGTTTACAATGATGGAGTAGTAGATGCTAGGAAAAATGTAAGAACCATAAGTCTTTGTAAAATGTGCTCTTACTTCAGGAAACTGTACTGTGTGGTGCTGTGATGTACTGATGATGGTGATGATGATGATATATGTATGTCCGGGCCTATATAGACATTTAGGTTTTTAAAACCTCATTCATTGTTAGATACTGTATAATACATTTTGTAATGATGATCATGGACATTATCTTGCTGTAGAAAGGGCAACATTAAAATCACACTGGCTATAATTAGGTTCAGATAGTGAAGATAATTTGGTTTAGAATTACTCCTTTCAGTAAACAAGTTAAAGATTACTTTGTATTAATTAGAAGATGCTAAGAATATAAACACTAAACTTTTTTCTTTCTTTTTTTCTTTTTTTTTTTTTTTGAGACAGAGTTTCACACTTTTTGCCCAGGCTGGAGTGCAATGGCATGATCTCGGCTCACGGCAATTTCTGCCTTCAGGGTTCAAGCGATTCTCCTGCCTAATTCTCTTGAGTAGCAGGAATTACAGGCATGTGCCACCATGCTTGGCTAATTTTGTGTTTTTAGTAGAAATGGGGTTTCACCCTGTTGGTCACGCTGGTCTCAAACTCCTGATCTCAGGCGATCCGCCTGCCTCAGCCTCTCAAAGTGCTGGGATTAGAGGTGTAAGCCACCATGCCTAGCCCGGAAAATGACTATTAAATGCTGGGAGACAGTCTGGGACTGTGACTACTACTGTGTTGCATTCTCCATATTACAATGGCATTTTGAGATTAAGCTCTGCACCAACGTTTCCATAATAAAAGCCTGCGTGGGAGATGCAAGCCACGATCCAAGAAAACTGTGACTCTGATCTGAAGCTAGTTTCAGGCAATCTGGAGAGAACTGTATCCTGGGAACAAATAATTGGGAACAGAAAATGGTTGTCATTTTTTTTTTTTTTTTTGCCAATTGTTTCCCCAATACTTTTTATCGTCTTGAAGTCATGAGAGTTTTTTTTTTCCTCCAGTTTGGTCATACCTTGATTTATAGAAAAGTTGCCAATAACCTGAATAACCTGTTTCTAATGCCGAAGACAGCTTATGCCTGAGCCCTCCCTTAGGTCCAGAACTTAAGATGAGAAGATATTTTAGGATGTGCAAGCCACGTTGTCTTAAGCTTTACTGAAAGAAAACATTCCAGTGAAATATGCGTGGATCAGTACATATTTCAGAGAATGTGATAGTCTCTGTTGAATCTCTGATGGTTCACATGGTTTGCTGCTGCTCTTAATCTCATGTCCTTTGAGCCAAAGAGTTCCTTAATTAAAATACAGAAACAAGAAGGCCATCTGCAAAACCCATACTTCCAGTCTACTCATCTGTAACGTTGCTTAATGCTATGTGCAATGACCTAGGCCCTGAGCTAGATTATTGCCAAGAATAAATCTTCATTTATAAAACTGATCAGATGGTTGATCAATTCAGAAAAAAGTTAGGCAATTTTTTTTGGGAAGGTTATTTGTAGAAGAAATCTCAGGTGATAGACAAACTATTTTCAATTTTAGCTATTTTGAGGGGCAGCAATATAGACGCTGCTTAAGAAGACAAAGGCATTATCCTGACTTGTATATTGCCACCCCTATTCCTTAGCCCCATGTTTAAGAAATACATCAGTTCTGGATATACTTTAGTTTTACTTTTATATAGATATAACCTGGCTCCTGAACTTTGAAGCTTCTATTATTTTCCTTTTTGACTTCAGTTTGTGATACCTGCACAGTTTTCAAAACCCAATCAAAAAGTGAAATGATCTCTTGAACAACAGGTATTTTTGTTTGTTTGTTTGTTTGTTTGTATCTTTGGCTTTTTGTTACTTGAGACAGGGTCTTGCTCTGTTGCCCTGGCTGGAATGCAGTCACATGCTCACAGCTCACTGTTTTGTTTTTTTTTTTAAATCTGTTGAACATACCTGTAATTCTCTGCCAATGATCTTCGAGCTGAGACATTCTAGTTACAGTATTTCATTTTTTGGCTGTTTTTCTCCCTCTTTTTGGTTGATGAAAAGTTATACCCAACTTCCCTCACTAATAATATGAATGATCTCCATTTCTCTTTATTGTTCATTGATGCATTCCACTATTTTACAGTAGGTAAGTCGATATGCTTGGTGTTGAAAGCAGGAAGATGATCAAGAGTTTGAAATGTTCATTGCAGATCCCTAATCAGGATAGAAACTGGCAGGGATGTCCTGCAGTTAAGCTACTAAGACTTCCATAGTTTTTTCTTCTCATTTGTAGTAGGCTCTTGGGAATGTCCTTGGGCCTTTTAGTTGTGATTGCTGAAATTTATATTCATGGGGAAAGGGGGTGGGGGAGGTTTACTTAAAATTTGAAAAGATTTATCACCTGACCTGGTGGTAATCCTGTTGAGCAAATTCTATTGTTTTAGTTTGTTCGGGCTGTTATATATATATTAAAAAATCATAAAATGGTATGTTTTCTTATAAACAGCAAAAATTTATTTCTTACAGTTCTAGAAGCTGGAAAGTCCAAGATCCAGGCATTCACAGATTTGCTTTCTGGTGAGGGCTCATTTCCTTGTTCATAGATGGCTTTTCCCTATAGCCTCACATGGCAAAACAGGTAAGGGAATTATTTTGGGATCTCCCTTGTAAGGGCACTAATCCCATTCATGAGAGTTCCATATTTATGACCTGATCACCTCCCAAAGGCCCCATCTCCTATGATCATCACTTGGATTTAGAATGCCAATATATGAATTTATCCGGGACAGATTCAGACCATAGCACAAGTGTTAAAACTGCAAGAAGAATCCCACACTCAAGGTAACCCAAGTAATTGACTAATATGAATCAATCCAACCCAATTGTTGGGAATTCTCATAGTTCTTGCAGTGGTTCTTTCCTTGGTCTATTTTCTTGGAACTACCTCAGTCTAGTTTTTAGACTACTTTCCATGCTCAAATAGGATATTCCTTTCCCTCATTTTTTGTACCTGTATTCTTCAACTTTCATCCTACCCCTTTATACTTCTGCATGTGGGCTTTATTTTCTTCTTGACTCTCAAAAGCTATTGATGCCCTGCCAGAAAGATCTCCCGTTAAAAGCAAACTGCAAGATTTTCTAACAGAAAATTTAGTTAGGGATTGTTGACAGGAATAGACATGGCTTTGAAATTCAAGATTGTCTGAAATCTACTCTGGGTAGGAAAAGAAAGTGCTTCCCTTCCATTCTGGGGACAATGTCCTTTCCTCTATCTTCCTTTGCTCCTGTATCCCTCAGTCCCACCACCCTCTAATAAAATAAGCCAGTAAACCAGGCATGGTGGCTCACACCTGTAATCCCAGCACTTTGGGAGGCCAAGGTAGGTGGATCACCTGAGGTCAGGAGATTAAGACCAGCCTTGCCAAAATGATGAAGCCCTTTCTCTACTAAAAAATACAAAAATTAGCTGGGTGCAGTGGCAGGTGACTGTAACTCCAGCTACTAGGGAGGCTGAGGCAGGAGAATCACTTGAACCTGGGAGGCAGAGGTTGCAGTGAGCCGAGATGACACCATTGCACTCCAGTCTGGGAGACAGAGCAAAACTGTCTCAAAAATAAATAAAATAACTCAATAGATTAAAGGCTGCAGAGTATAAAATACTTGAACTTACATATCAAATCACGTTAAATACTTACATTTTAGTATGAAAGGCCCTCAATAGTTACGTTTAAAAAAATCACTATTTCCCAGATAATATTTCTGTCCAGAAATTTGAGAAACAGGATTATATGTAATTACATATTTAAGAAAATTGAACTCCTTGTGAAATATGTATTTAGGGATTACTGGAGATTCATTTGAGGTTTGGCTGGTTACCATGACCTTAGGAAGTTACTTCTCTCTAAATTCGTTTGCTTTTCTGAAAAATGATAAAAATGTTTTCCTCACAGAGTATATGTGAGAATTATGGAGCTCGTGTATAAATAATTTTTCATAGTTCCTGCAATTAAAAACTCAATATATATTTTTAAAATGATGCTGATAGTAATGATATGCTGTTTGTCATCACATGTATTTTTACCCAGAGTTTTTTTTTTTTTTTTTTAATTTTTTATTGGATTATAGGTTTTGGGGTACATGAGCAGAGCATGCAAGACAGTTGCGTAGGTACACACATGGCAGTGTGCTTTGCTTTTCTTCTCCCCTTCACCCACATTTGGCATTTCTCCCCAGGCTATCCCTCCCACCTCCCCCTCCCACTGGCCCTCCCCTTTTCCCCCAATAGACCCCAGTGTTTAGTACTCCCCTTTCTGGGTCCATGTGTTCTCATTTTTCATCACCCACCTATGAGTGAGAATATGCGGTGTTTCATTTTCTGTTCTTGTGTCAGTTTGCTGAGGATGATGTTCTCCAGATTCATCCATGTCCCTACAAACGACACAAACTCATATTTCTGATTGCTGCATAATATTCCATGGTGTATATGTGCCACATTTTTCCAATCCAGTCTATTATCAATGGGCATTTGGGTTGATTCCAGGTCTTTGCTATTGTAAACAGTGCTGCAATGAACATTAAACACTTTTCCCGTATCCCTTAGGTTACATGTTGCTATGTTCACTATTTTCCTTTTGTAGTTAAGCTGTAACACATCTTTTCCCGGTATTTTTTTTTTTTTGCCAGCTAAATTTCTTAAGTTTTATCTTTATTGATAATAATTATATTACCTACCTCTCTGCTTTTTCATGCTTGAGGGATCTCTGGATCTATCAGTGTGTATGATAGTCTGAAAAAGCCCAATTTATGGGCAATAAAGGGAATGATCAAATTATCAGGAACAAATATATCTGTTTCCTTTATTGACTGCTGACTGGGTAGAGCATACCAAACAAATGGCCATTCATTTATCCATTCAAAAATATTTATTAGCTATTTTGCACTGGGCAATGCTCTAGGCTTGGGGATAGAGCAGTAAATAAACAAAATCCTCGGCCTAATGGATATTACCTGGAAGTGTGCCAGGAAGATAAACTCACTTGTGAATTATAACAATAAGTGGTTTATTCAAGTCAAATATCTTGTTTTGTTCCTGAAAATTTCATTGAATTGCATCACGTAGAAGGCAAAGTATACCTCAAGAACTAAGAGCAATTATGAATAAACGATAAACTAAATGATAAACCATATTTACTTCCCAATATATAATATATAAACATATATATTAGGAAGTAAATGTAAGTAGTAACTGTATACATATATAGTAAGTACTGTATACATATAGTTACTACTTACATTTATGTATGTGTACATATATTTGTGTATATATATGTATACATACACACACATATACTGTTACTGCAGAGTATGAAATGGAATAGGATATATTATCTTCCCTCACAGAGCTCCCAATTCTGTGGGAGGATGTAATAAATATACAGTTGGTTTCTTCAGTTTAACAAGACTGATGTGAGGAAAAAGTTGTAGGAATATGTTCATGTAGCCACCCAAATGGAGCACCCTAATCGATCGCCATTTCAGGATTAAGAGTGGACAGTCTTTGTGTTACAAATTGGGACATTAGTGTCTCTGGGGAACAGTGATGTCCACTATTCTAAATCCCTTGGTATTCCTATTTCATTGATTAAACTACACTTCTGATATTTTAGACTAAAATATTTTGGCTTAATCAGAGTCAAGGAAAACTGTCCTTGGGTAAACAAAACAAAACAGCTAAGTGATGCACAATTAGGGAAAAATAAGGCAACCTATGAAAATGGCATTACGGATTAAAAGAAGTGAGCTCCTATATGGTCAGTGCAAACCAGGAAAAATTTAATGGAAAAAGTGCCATCTAAGCTTAGCTTTAAAATACAGAAAAGGGAGAAAAGGCATACAGGAGAATGTGCCCAAATGGAGTTTGGCTGGAGACAAGGAATAAAGCCTAGAAAGAACAATTACCCAAGGCCAGACATGGTGCTGGAGGGGGCAAGATGCTTATTATTTAAAGTGATAGGTCACTGTTTGCTGGACACAGTGAGTGGAATACAGAACACTGCAACTAGTTTAAAACTTTACCTCTCTTGGTGGTTTCTTTTTTCTTTTCCCTGAAAAAACATGTGTATACTACTTTTTCTGCACAGACCTTGATTTAAAACTTTACCACTCTTACTGGTTTCTTATTATAGTTCTCTTATGTGAAAAAAAGTGTGTATACTTCTTTTTCCCAGTTTTCTATATCAGATCTTGATTGGCTCACCACCATTACACACACATCTCTCTTCTCTCTCATCCTCCCAGTGTTATAGAATCATTAATTGTAAAATCAGTATTCAGTATTTACATAATTATGGCTGACTTTACATGACTAGTATTGTTCACAGTTGAGGTATGCAGTGTAGTTTTTGGATTTTTATTTTTTCCAGGGTTCAAAATTACATGTTTTGTTTTCTTAATTTTGAAAAATATGCAGATTACTAATTTATCTCCCCACTCTTTGGAAAATGAAAGCTCTCTAGGCTGTATTCAAATACACCAGGTACTCTATTAATTTTTTATTTTTTAAAATATTTTACCTGAGGTCTCCATCTTTAGGCATTTCCTGTTGGCTTCATACTGTTCTCTCCAACCACTCTCCCTCTTTAATATAGGTATATTACTATTTTAGAAATCTTATGGCTACTTTGTAATAAAAATGTCTTTCCCCACTCAACAGACGGTATCTTTCAATTTCCCACTTTATAAGGACATTACTACCATTCCATTATCTCTCCCACCCTTCTTCAACATTGCCACTTGTATTTCCGTCTGTATTTTTAAAACACGATGGATAACATTTGCATTCCACGTTGTAACCATAATTAGATACACCCTTAAACAATAAAAACCATAAACAGCATTTGTATTTTACTATTATTTAAATGTTATTCACTGAATAGCCAAGCTTTGTGCTACTATGGGCTTCCTTTTCTGAGGCTTGATCCTCGTCTTGCCACAAGAGCACTGAAATAGAGCCCATTTTCTTACCCTCCCCCCATTAGTTAAAAGGCTTGCAGCATTTTATGTCTGGTACTGGGAGGATGTTTTTCTTGCACAGTTTTGCTTTTTTTCACTGCAAGTTTCTGATTATTATTGATTTCTCTTATGGGATGAAGAAATATGTGCCTACTATATCACAGCCTTAATACCTTCAGCTTCGTATTTCAAATCTTGCTTACAATCCAATCCAATATTCCCGCTTTACCGATTTTCTTTTTCTGAATTTCACCCTTTTGTTTGGAAATAATGCACCTTCTGTGCTTTGTCACGTCCTGAAATTCGTCAGGTGTTGAAGGATGCACGCTTCCTTAGATCTTTTCGAGGGTCTCAACGGCAGTTCTGTTTCCGGAATCGCGTATTTTCTCTTTCTAGGAACTGAAGGCTCCCAGCGCCCTCCGGAGGAGCTCCGCTGGCAGCGAAGAGCGCAGCCGCGAAGAGCGCCTGAGCATTCTCGCGAGACTGTGGGGCTCGCTATCCACTGCTCTGCTGCGCCGCAAAGGACCCTAGGAGTCCGCCATCTTGCTGGCCCCGGAGGCCGTTAGCTTAGTCACGGGTCTAAATGTGTACCTGCAAGCGAATGTTGAGAATCACCGAGCCCGCGACGTAGAAGTACGGAAAGTTCATGCGCAGCTGCCAGGCCAGCTCGAAGAAGGCGAGGAGGGTGCGGGAGAGCCCCTTGCAGAAGACGCCGTACGAGGTGGGGGCCGCGGCGGGGCTTGAGGCCCTGACGGCCAAGGAAGACGGAGCCGCCTCGGGGGCCATGGGCCGGGTGTCGCCGCCCGCCCAGCGTCTGTACCGAGGGTTGCCGCAGGGCCTGCGGACCCCCTAGCTACGGCCGGGACTGGCGGGACGATGGGCAGAGCAGCCCCCGGGCTCACAACTAAGCTTGTGGCTGCCGCTGCTCCGTCCAGTGAGGGGCGCCGGGTCCAGGCGCCGCTGGCGCCCCGCCTCTTCCTGTCTGCTTCTCACAGTGGCATTTACCATTTAGAGCTCAACTCGTGATGGAGCTGAAATAGGATGTGTTATATAACATGTACGAACAGCCATGCAGATATGACCACTTTAAAATGAAAGCAGCTAAGCGAGTTGTAACTTGCTCTAGGGCACACAATTTGTAAGGGCCAAAGCTAAATTAAAACTTCAGTTTCTGCTGTGTTACATGGGATGTTAGCCAGGAATCTTACCCTTTTGATTTCATAACATTAACTCTAGTATTAGGTCAAGATGATTCTAAGCCAGTAAAAGCACAAGGTCTCTGTAGTCATAATATACCATAAACATAAAAGATCACAAACTTTTTCTTTGGATTTTTCTATGTATTAGGAATATTTAAATTGCAACTGACAGAAATAGCACATTCAAGCAAAAAGAAAGGTCCACACACATGCGTATATACACAAGGACATATATACAAAATCATATTACCATCCATGTAAACTCTTAAAAAGTTGAGATTAGCTATGAAGCTTCAGTCATTTCTGCGTGGAGATGCACCTGTGAAAGCTGTGGCTAGGCTCCAAGGCCTGGAACACTACTCTGTACTTCCAGACTGAATACCTTTAGAGTAACAACACAGTGAATCTCCAATAGCCACAATACTTTTCTGTTACTTAAATGATGGACATTACCTTATCTTCACTCATCTCCCATTTTAACTAGAAAGCACTGTATTTTTGAATCTGTTCACACAACGTCTTCATTTGTGGATTATTCAAATGTGTGATTTCTCATCATGACCCTAAGATTACAGTCTAGTTCTGAAAAGCATTTTTCAGATATTACACATCACACCCTACACTGCATGTCTGGTAGCTACAGAGCGTAAGTACTGTACTCTAGAGTACCTCTGTTTCTATATAGTCTACTGATGATATGACTGGTAGAACCAACATGCCATTGAGAAATTTGTAAAAAATAATTTTGTGTTCCCAGATAGTATTTCTTCCTTTGCTACTTTGCTATACCACTACCACTCCAGTGAGATAGCACTTAGAGGAATTATGACAGCTTCAGAAATACTGGTATAGAGGCTGAAGAGCAGTGTAAAATCAACGATTAATTCCGAGAACTGGGAGAAGATGTGTATTTTCAGTTCACAAATATAATTTGCTCCCTTTCAAAATTGAAAGACTAATACATAGAACCATTCAGGGTCACAGAAGTCATTACATTCCTGGATTTTTCATGTAAAATTTATTTGATTTCATTTTTCATGTAAAATTTACACATTTACAAATGTGTAAAGCGATGTGAACTCATTCTCTCTTCTATTCCTCTTTTGTGCCACCCTTGACGTCCTACTTGCCCCAGCTCTGGGTAACTCCATGAAAACCTTGTCTTCTACCCTGAGACCGTGGGAAAAATAGCCACTCATTGATAACATGGCCAGGTTGAGGTTCTGTTATAATGGGAAGGGAATAGGCAAAGAACAGTCACATTGCTCCAGATCCTACTCCTTAATGATCTAGAGCTGAGGAAGGATTTTTTCTTTCTACCTGAAAATGGGATAGGACCAATATTTTAGATGGTTGTAGTTTTTATCTGCCCCTTTATGTTTAGATTTGAATGTCTAATCCACACTTCTTCTCAATAGGCACATAAAAACAGACTGTCAACAGTAACACATCTTAAGCCATTTCTTTGGGTGGTATTTCATTGACTCTTTCTTGGCCTTCATTTCCTAATCTTTTTAAAGTTTCCTATTTTTGATGTTATATTCCAGTTCTAATACTTTATAATTTCTTGTTTGATCCTTTTGCAAAGTTTTAAGGTTGGCTTCAGTGGATCTGCAAAGTACCATACTGTCAAATTCTCAATTCCTTTTTTGAGAATTTGCCAAGGTAAGTTCTCTATTATGTAAGAAATGCATTCAGAATGCGAGGACCAGATTGATAGGATCCAATCCCAAAGGCAAGAGAAAACTTGCAAATCAGTGAAAGAGAGTTTGCCCCACATTTGCATGCTAACAAATTGAGTTCAACCTTTCAGTCATCACCCAGAAACTGCTTGAGAGTTATAGGAAACTTTTACACAGATTTAGAGCAGTTCTGAAGGGATAACAGATTGTATCGATTATACCAATGATTAGGTTCCATAGTAACACTGGGCAATTTCTGGATCAAGACTGTACAATCAAGCATCAGATATGTTGCACTGAAGCAGATGATCAGTTACAACATGAGAGATTAAGGTTTTTCTCTACGTGTTCTAGTTATGAGGCAGAATATTTTGCTGATGGTGATATTAGGAGAATTCATGAATGTTTGGAAATGGCTTGATTGTACAGATTAACTGAATTACTGGCTCAGGTATTGGAAGTTCCTTTAACTGACTTTTCATCAGTTTAGCCACCTCCATAGTTTATCAGCTGTGTTTAATACTGCTTAATATTTTTATACTTACATTCATACCACACCATTAACTTGTGCTAATACTGAACCAGAAAAAAGGACGATTTCTTTTTGGACACTGATTGATACTCAACCCTCTGGTTTGCTGTCTGCCTAATAATTTTTGGAGGTGGGGTGGTTCAAGATAGCTAATTTTTCTCAGCCATTTGTCCTCTGGATAAAGTGCAGAATTAATGATGTGAATATTACGATCCTGATGGAGTCCTTTGTTTATTAACGTTCCATTGGGAAATCAGTGTTCTTTGGAGTCTGTAATCTTTCTTATTTCATTTTTATCATGTACTGTTTTTTAACTTTTATAGCATATTTGATTCACTTTATGGTAAACAACCTGCTGGGTATGATACTTTTGCAGTTAGTAGCAACCTTCTGCCTTTCTGATTACTCTGATTCTGATTCTTCGAAAGAGCAAGCTGAGTCAGACCCCATTGATAATGTTGTGGAAGGTTATATTCTTGATATGATGGGAAACCTTGACCCCTTGAAAGTATTGACAAAAACTGTTTTTTTTTTTATAAGAAAAAAAAAAATCAAGTAGAAGCCCACATAAAAACTCTTTCATTTTTCTTTCTTTCTTTTTCCTATGGCTTTAATGCATACATATAGTTTGGCATCATTGTAATTCTCACCAGAACATTCTCAGAGCTAAACATATACTCTTATTTCCACATTTCAAGCAAGACTTTTCTTTTTCTCCCCTCCCAACTCTCTTTTAGACAATGAAACACAATAATTGTGAGATTATTAAGATCTATTGTATTCTTGGCTACAAGGCCAGAGAGGTTGCATGAAAAATCACCTATGCCTGAGTCTATCTTTTTTTAATTGAGACATTTGTAAACCATGCATGTGGAAGAATATGGTATAGTATGCATTTATGCATGCATTTTGAAAACCAGCTTAAGAATCCTTCCTTTTAAGTGGTGGAAAACCAAAAGAGAACGTTGCTTCTGCTTTAATAAGGAGAGTAATCTAGGTAGGCTCAAAAGTCATAATTTATTTTGAGCTTGTTAGAACTGAAGTTACAAGGTGAGCAGGTAAACTGAATTTCAAAAGATGACAAGCCTTTCCAAATAGGACACATGAATTGTTTCATCTGTGGCATAGCTCCAGAAAAGTTTTCTGGCATTTTGGTAGGTAAGAAGAAAATTGCTGAAATTTTAACCAGTGCTTACAAAGGTTGAGTGTAGTTTAGTGTGACAGTTTAGAATACTTGGGAGCCCTAGACACAGGAGTTATCTATAATTGCCAGCTTTTCCCTTTGGGCTTCTACTGAATGCTTACTGGAAAGATTGAGGACAGAGCAGGAGACCTAAGGAAGCTCCACTGTGGTATATGGTATAGGAGGCAGAATAATGGCTTTCCCAAGGCTATCTGTGTCATAATCTTTGGAACCTGGTAGTATGTTACATTAGATGGCATGGGGACTTTGCAAATACAATTATTGGTATGCACCTTGAGATGGGAGCTTATCCTGTATTATTTAGGTGGGTTCAGTCTAATCATATAAGTCCTTAAAAACATTATTTCTTAACTAAGGTTAGAGTGATGAAACATTTCTGACTTTGAAGACTAAGGAGGCCCCAAGCCAAGGTCTGCAGGTAGTTTCTCGAAGTTGGGAATGTCAAGGAAATGGATTTTTCCCTTAGAGCCTCCAGAAAGCAATGTGGCCTTGCTGATACCTTGATGTTAGCTTAGTAAGACATACGTCAGACTTCTGGTCTATAGAACTATAAGATAATTTTGTAGCATTTAAGCCACTAAATTTATGATAATTTGTTACAGCAGTAGTGCAAATCTAAAACAAGTGGGAACAAAGTCTTCTTAAATTTTAAGGTGGAGTAAGAGAAACTGGAGAAGTCCATTTACACTGTGGATGCTGCATGAGTAAAAGGTGGTTGCTGGCCAGTGCGAGGGGATGGGCAGGAAAACTACATGTCTTTATTAAGCAAGATCTACCTGCTGCTGAGTGAGGGGCATGGAATCCACTGTAACTTGGACCCTACTCTTCTATTGGGCAATAGCTGATTGGCACCAGGGGTGAAGTAAGAAACCTGCCTGTACTCTTGGGTCTGCACTGTTACATGTTAGAGGTCTGTTATCACAAGGGAAGTGCAGGAAACTTACTTGTTCTGGGCTATGCTGGCTAAACAGAAAGGATCTGCCACTGAGGGAGGGCAGAAAACCCACCAAACCTGGACTCTGCATGAACACCATGCAAAAGCCATTTGCTGCAGGAAGGGGGCTGTTAACCTGGTGGTATCAAGACCCTCCAGTGATACAAGACATTGATTGGCTGACACTCAGGGAGGGGCAGGAAGGTTGCCTGCCTTGGACTCCAATACTGACACCTGGTGAAAACCTATTGCCATTGGAGGAGGGGAAGAAAACCAGCTTTCAGCCAGGATCCTGCACTGATTTTAGGCAGTTTTTCTTGTGGGAGTGGTAGGAGCATTAAGAAAGTCCCATGTCTACACAGGGAGGGGAGCATCACACACTGGGGTCTGTTGGGGGGAAATAGGGGAGCGACAGT